ATTCAAGAGGAGGAACATGGGTTTCTTTTTGTTTTTCCAAGTCCTATTCTGTCTGTAGATAGTTAATTTGGCACTGAGGGCAGCATTTCAGAATAGATGAGGCTATATTGTTCAGTTTTCAGGAAACTATTGATTGTATAGTCTGGGGCGCACTTTGCCCGCCAACTAGGCTGCTGTAAACTCTGTAATCCTTAAGGATGAACATTTATGTCTTTCTTTGCAGCACTTGTCCTAATTACCAGCACTGTACTCTGGTGCTTTTTGAATGAATGGCAAAGGTGTCACCTTCCCTAGATATTCTTACCCTGGTACTTCTTGATGGTGTGCTACTGCTTTTGTTGACTCAGAGAAAGCCTAGATAGCAACGGTTAATAGCTGCCTAAATTGCAGGTAGAGTAATGACACAGTAACTGTGGATCTTCCTGATCAAGGAAGCTGGAATAAATTCCCTTGAAGGAAAAAGTGAGCTGAACTAACCTGAGGATTCTTCCTAGCAGCACAGCTATGTGACCACAAGGCACTAGTGGAGAAGGACAAAGTTATTACTGCACATTGTAGGAATTTTATCTTAATGGTCAGGCCTTTGGGGCATACTGCAGTTTCAAATTATTTACACTCTCCATATCTGGAGTTTCTACTGGTGTGCAACCTAAATTGTTTGACCAGCAATGGCTGTCATCAGGGAAAATGTGGATTTGTACATAAGAAGCATGAATGTATTCAAGAGCCTGTAATAAAAATTTTGCTTGAATTTAAAACCTAAAGTTAAGCTGGCATAAAAGCATACCAGTTGTGTATTAATAGACTGTGACAAATTAAAAAGAATGATAAACAAGATTACCAAGGTGTTTAATAAAAAATATGTACAGGTTCTCAGAAAACCGTTCTTGATTGCGACTTGATGAATGAATGAAAACTTATATATATCTCCCTTGTCTCCCTACTGAAATGGCTAAGCCATAGTCTTTCCAGGATTTAAAAAATGAAGCAAACTCTTTTATCTTTTTCCCCTTTCCTTGTCTCTGCTTTGAATCATAAGGTGGAGGTTTATTTGTTCAACAAGTTATTGTTCTGTTTTCAAGCTTTTCTTTGTATCTGAGGTCTAGGTACTTAGTTGTTTTGCAGCTTTTAATAGGAATATTTTTAAGGTAATGACACACCTCTGTGAACAGAATTTTTTAATTGATAGAGAATATTTAAAAAATTATTGCCATACAGTTATTGCTATGTGAAAGTATATAAACAATCCTAGGACTCTATTCTCAGTTCAGTACTGAGTCACATTTACCTTCATCATTGGCTGTGTTTTTAAAACATTCTACTGACTTGATTAAACTGTGGATTCTTCAGGAAATGGAATGCAACAAAATATTTACTCTAATTCAAGAAAAATAATCAAAAAATTAAGGCAAAACAACTCTCTCTTTTCTTTCCTTGAAAAAAGTTCTTTAACATGTCCCCTACTATAGCTGGGCAGAAATGGAAAGTGGCATTTAACAAACAAAATGAACAAAAACCATCCCCCAAAGTAATCTAACAGCAAACAAGATGATTTTCATGCCAGCGGAGAACTGGTGCAACCTGTAAGTGCAATGTAAGTGTTAAAGGCTTTCAGAAGACAGAGAACACTCAGATACTTACTGTTTGTTTGAGTCTTAGTTTCCACAGGGAAGTAATCACATAAAAGATCAAAGTGTCTCTTTATAACTGGCTGCAACAATTCCAGCTTGTAAACGTTCAGCAGTGATTTAGCAGTAATATCTTACATGATACTATGGCAGGCATAAAGTGAAAATATAGCATGTAATGAGCAAAATATTGGTCGTGATTTGGTACAGGATAACAGAAACACAGCCGCAAGCTGGTACAAACATTTCTGATCTACTATAGCCCAATGGTGGGATTTTCAGAAATGCTTTACTAGTCCTGCTCCAATTAAATTACTCAGAATTGGGAGCTTTACCATCAGCTTCACTGGTACATTATCATCACACTTTAGTGACTTATGACGTCTCCTTTCTAGAATCAAAAACCTATTAAAGACTTAAAGATTTAAAACAGTACTTGCAAATGGTAAAATAACAAATATCATGGTTATTATTCATTTTGCTACAGTTCTGGAAATAGTCAAAGTAGACTATTATTGTTTTAAGAAACAATTCAGTGTAGTAGTTCCACCTTAACATTGAAAACCTATGTCCTCTTTATCCAACATGTTTTCCTACTCTCTTCACTACCAAAGCCTAGCTACCTAGCTCCGTAAACGTATTTTTAACACTTATCTGCCTCCTCTTCCCATTTTTAGCTCTTCTATGTATACACTGTACTCTCTGGATTTTTTTCTCTTCTTCCACTTAAATAATTCTGTTGTTTTGTAAAATGAACATGATTAATATCAAGACCTGGCTACTTATGAAGGGGAAGACCAGAAATTGCCATTACCATGTTAAAGTTTTCATCTTGAAAATGTTGCAAATTATATTACAGTTTTGGTAACTCAATATATATTAAAGATAACCATTCCCTGGATTCTCATCACTAAGCAGTCATCTATTTGACACTTTAAGTATGCTCTTGCCTTCACCTATGCCAGACAGATGTTTTAGCATTCAGTAACATGAACTAGCTGGGAATCATCTAACAAAATGGTTTTTACTATATAAAATAACATCATCCATCAGTAACACATTAAAATAAAAAAGTGGATTTTGATTAATTCCTTGACTCCAGGGAAAAGATGTTTAGATATTGCCTAAATACTCATTTCAAATATTTAAAGTTCCTTTATTTGTGATGATTCTTTGAAAGATTTAGCCAACATTAACGGTCCAACCCAATACCTTATGAAAATTTTTCTGACCTGCAAAACAGTTCAATATATTGGGCTATGGAATATATTTGAGACTTTTCTTGTTTTGCAGTGAGAAAATTATTGAAACAAATCTTGGTTGCTTGGAACAGTTTTCCATTGAACACTGAGGATCAAATTCAGTTCTTAACAATTTGCTTCCCTGCTTCGCTATTTAAGTACATAATAGCTCTCTAACCTTTGTTTTGGAAGAAAATTGCCTAAATGATACAGAAATTCCATTTTCTTAGGTTCATATATATTGGGGTTTCTATTCTCTGTTTTGTTAATCAATGGATAAACAACAACATAATGCCAGGATATTTTTTAAAGATTTTGAAAACAGTTTTTGAACAACAACAACATAATGTACATATGAACATACTGCCTCTTGTTTTGCTAAACCCTGTAAATTATGTTTTGCAGTTGGCTCCAGGATAAGGTCCTGTATAACCCAGACAATATGTTGGTCTTTAAAACAAAGTGGAACGCTTGTATAAAGAAACACATTTGTTAACTTGTAACATCAAGACTTTATCAGGCTAGTCCTCAAACAGTGAGCCCTCAAGGGTAGCAATGACATTCTTTCTTCCATTAGTAATTTTTCTTGCAGGCTTATTGCAAGAAAGAACGATTTCTCAAAATAGAGCAACCTGGCTCTATTTTGACCAGATGCAGGAAAAGTTTCCTTTGAAATGCTTTTTTTTATTAAGCTAGTTTGTTGTTCTTGCTCAGGTGGAGGGGGGAAAAGCCTGGTTAGTATGTTGTTGGTTTTTAGAAACAAGTTTTGCAAATTCTCTTTTTAACACTTCTGGTTTTGTATTCCTAAGAAGGAGCCAGATCCTTCATGGGTGTAAATTAGTACTTTATAAGAGCCTACAGTCTTGTTTGTTTACACTAGTGAAGGATCTTGCCCAGTTCCCCAACCATATGTGCAGCCTGACATTTGAATGGAACTGCAATTAGCAGGGTTGTTTTTGTTTAACTTTATTTAGCACCTTATCTTCCCGCAACATTCTTTTTGGAGTACCAGTATCAACCATGAACTCAACATAGCTCTTACTAGTTCTGTTCTATTTTGGGCTAGAAGGAAAAATCCCCAGCACTCCAGATCAAAGAGCGCCCTCCGCTTTCACTCTGGGAATAGAAATTGTAACTAATTGGTGCAAAAAAAGGCTCTTATTACCATGACAAATCGATTCACACCACAGTTAAGTCAGTCATAACTTACTCCACTACACAGGAAAGTTATCCAAGCCCTCAAAATAACCTGTTATTAATGGCCAAACACACGCAGCCTTCCACAAAGACAGAATGGTTTTGGTGTTGGTGAGAGACCCAACTTGTAGATGATGCAAGTCTGCAGAACTCTGTTTATTGTGTTCTACAATTTGCCCAATTACTCAGCTATTTGCTCTCTGATGTTATAGTAACACCGGGGACTGCAAGGCCTGTTGGCCAGGCTCTTACTCTTGCTACTTGTGTTAAGAAGAGCCTCCTGGAGGATCCCAAGTCTGGCAGAGCTCTGCTGCTTCCAGACACTGAAGTTCTGCACAAAGGGACAGAGGAGCAGGCCCTGAAGGCTCTGGTGGCCCTCAATCGGAGGTAAGGGGTTGTACCTCAGCAGCTCAAGCCACCCACAGGCCTGGGAAGCACTTACTGGAGCACTGTCCCCACAGATGCCAAGCGGGCTGAGAAGGTGGGAAAACCTCCAGGGCTTCTGGGGAGCTGGCAGCCTTCTCCCTGGTCCCTACCCTATCGCCTCCTGCAGCACACAGGGCCTCACAAAGGTAAGAGGCCACCTCCACGCAGCTGTGTCGGTGACAAGAAGACAGGCAAAACAGGTCAAGGTCAGCAATGAGGAGAGGGGGTCCAGGCTCCAGCCAGGCCTCGCTGCCCGGCCCCTGTCCTCTGGGGCTTACAGGCAGGGTCCTGAGGCAGGTGCAGCCCTAGAGGCGGCGTGCCGGGGCCGGGGCCGGGGCCGGGCCGGGGGCTGAGGCTGAAGGGTCGCCCGGGCGCCCTCGCGGAGGTTGCGCAGCT